TTTTTGGCAGGAAAAAATATAGTTGTTGGGTCATTTAAGTCCACCATGATTCATTATCTAAACGTACTGACCCAGTTTAACGTCGTGTGAGTGACCATATTATTGGTATATTTGATTTCATTAACAGAGAGGTGGTAGCTATGAGACAGAGCGAGCTTGGCAAGTTTGCTGAGTTGGGGTAAAGTAATTTGTCACAATTATCCAGTGCAGAAACACACTGCTTGGCTTTGATCCTCTCTGTTCAAATTAAAGTGTTGGTACCAAAAAGCCTGTCCATCTGTGAGTGAGTATGTGACAGAGGGACACACACACACACAGACAGTGATATCCACACACACCATTAATATCATTGATAGCACTGGCTGGTGCCCTAATCACATGAAGTGCAATAATTGTATTAATAAAATCATCTCTCTGCTCCCCCTGCGGTGCCATTCCCGCCAGCTCTTCTTTTATCAGTCCACTGTCGTTCGTGGGACCCTGTCTTGTAATGAATCACTAGTCAGTGCATGAAGTCTCTTCGTTCCCAGCCTTTCCTCTTCCTTCATTCCTTTCCTCATATATCACTCAATTTCACTCTGGCTATCTGTCTGCCTGGCAGCAGTCAGACAGTGCTGCCCGTTGGCCTTGTTGTTGGTATTGCCAGCAGGAAGGCATCGCAACCACAGTAGCAGATAAATAACGGCCAGCGGATAATTATTCTAACAACTGGCTCTGCTTAGGAAAACATCTCCATTCATTTGTAAGAATAGAGAGCTCCATACAGTATATGCAGATGTAATATTACCTGGTGAATTGCCATGTCTAAATGATTAGAAACACAGGGATTGCATGATTGATGTGTGTGACTCATCACTGAGTCTCATGCTGTCTGCATTAATATTCTGTGTTTTCATATCCCGTCCTATAGTACACTATGTAAGGCAATCGACTTGTACATGCTGTCCACTCTCATCAACTCACTGAGCTTCATTTGAGAAACAGCTGATGAATGGGTTGTGAATGAGAAGAGGAGGGAAAAGGCAGCAGAAATATTTCTATAGGTACCAACCAAGGTGATGGCAAACAGATTCTGTTTGACAGATACTCATCATCTAGAATCACATTAGAAAAAATGACATTAAATAATCACATTTCTGGTGCCAAGATGTTGTTCCCAACATTAAAGAGAAGGGCACTGGTGAGATTGTCATCACTGATCAGTGCTATTTCATTACCAGATAGTTCCAGGAACTAAGGAGGCACAGAAGCTGATCTACAAGTCTCAGGAAAGGATGGCGAGTTCCTAAAACTGTTACTGGATTTCTAGGAATGTTTTGTGTGTATGTGTGTGCATGCTAAATAAGGTATTTAATACAAATTTGATAGAGGTTTCTGTTTTTTTTCCTGGACAGTGGATGGCTTCAGTCATGAACTGGTGAAGTGATACAAGTCTTTCTTTAGATCACATTAAATAAGTTCTGTGCAGTTAAATTAGCGACTGTAAATTCTGTGTTTTATGTTACTGGTCCACTGCCACTATTGATCATAATTAATGTGCATTTAATAGTTAAAGGCTGCTGATGTGTGGGAGGTTTAAAGTTTACAGTAAGTGCCTATTGCCTGTTTTTTCTGTTCATTTGTCTTCAAGTAAAGCTGATACAAAAACAAAGAAGTTAAAATCTACTTGTAGACCAGTTTTATGCAAGTCTTCCAATAAGTATTTATAATCTTAAAGTCAAAATTTAGTGGAGCTGCTTGACAACAAGCTGTTCCAGTGATTTACATTTGAAAAGCTTTTGATATATCTGCACACAGAAGCAGCAAAACTAATGACAAATTCTCTTCAGTTGCATGAGCTCACATGTGTGGCAACTGCAAAAGCATGCAGCATGATATTAGCGAAACAATGACATTGATGTGAAATTTTTGGACTATAATGGAGATGCAACAGTGTGCTCAGAGTTTTACTTTTTTACTGGTCAGTGTCTGCAGTAAAAAATAGTTTTAATGTTTGTTTACTGCTCATGGAGCACCTTGCAAAGTTACTGTAGCTTTTTGCAGCAGAGGGATTTGATGCTTATCCCATCTTGTTCTTAAAACAAAAACACCATGATCTTGACCTCACAGGCTCTGTTATTTCATGCAGATGAAAACCTGGCAGAGACCTCAATTAAATACTTTTTTTTGCTATTCATCATCATCATCATCAACAACAACCTTTTGAGAGCAAGCTCTCATTTTCAATGGTGCCCTGACATACAATTAACACCATCAAAACAACCCATCCATCCATTATCTATACCACTTATTCCTGAATAGGGTCATGGGAGGGCAATCCCAGCTGTCATTGGGTGGGACGCGGGGTACACCCTGGACAGGTCACCAGTCTATCACGTAGACAAACAACCATACACATTCACTCTTTGGGGCAATCAAGAGTCACCAATCAACCTAAGATGCATATCTTTGGAATGTGGGAGGAAGGGAGAACATGCAAACTCCGACAGCACTAACCACTGTGCCACTGCCCCCCCCCCATCAAAACAATAATAAATATACATGGATAAAAAAAAATCAGTATTAAAAATTCAGTAACACATCACACATTAAAACAATACAATATACACACAAAATCAACATAAATAAACTCATATTAATAAACAGTATCGAGATCACCTGTTACATTCACATGTAAATTGTACAATATAAAAGCAGACTAAATTCAGAATATGGAATGAGACTAGCCGGTTTTGTCTTTTTATTCAAACTGTTCCATTTTTGTAGGGCATAGTAACAGAAGGACATCTTTTCTACTTCTGTATTGAATCCTTTGAATCTGGTACATTGATGATTTATAACTCAGGAGGCAGGTAATATATTCAGGCAACTTATTAAGTGGGGCTTTATAAACAAATGACATACAATGATGTTCTCTTCTCAGTGTCAAAGACGACCAACCTACTTTCTGATATAATTCACAATGGTGAGCCCTAAAGGGATCTCCAGTAACAAATCTAATAGCAGCATGATACACTGAGTCAGGTGGTGTAAGGGTTTTGGCAGCGGCATGCATATAAATTATACTGCCATAGTCAATTACACATAAAATTGTTGCTTGTACCAATTGCCTCCTGTGACACTCATTAAAATAAAATCGGTTTCTATAAAGAGATCAAAGTTTGGAGTTAAGCAAAGCAGTTGATTTCACAAAATGAAATTTAAATCTCAGCTTGTCATCTAACCAAAAGCCAAGAAATTTATGTACAGAGACTTTATCAACAACAGCACCGTTCATTGTAGCAATTTAAATTTAAATGATCAATTTTACATAATTTTATGTAAAACTCATATACTTTGTTTTTCAGGAATTTAATATTTAAGATTGCCGTAGGGGCAACTGTGGTTCAGTGGGTAGAGCAGTTGACTCCCAACCGGAGGGTTGGAGGTTCGAACCTCGGTATCTGCAGTCGAAGTGTCCTTGGGCAAGACACTGAACCCCCAAGTTGCCCCCGATGGTTTAAGCCATCGGTTGAGTTGGCACCGCAGATGGCTGCCTCGGTTCTGTACCGGAAGCAAATTCCTTGTGTGTGTGTTAAATACTTGGCCAGATAAAGGTGATTATCCTTGATTATCAAGAAGATGATGTTGAATAATGTTAAAATCAGACTGCAAATGCTGGAAAGCCTGATCAGTGGAGGTGGCCACTGTATAAATGACAGTGTCATCTGCATACTGGAGAGTACATAGAGAGTAAGTACATAGTACTGCTACTTACTTTGGACCCTAGATCATTAATATAAATAGTGAATACAGTGTGACCCAAAACAAGACGTGTTTAACAATGCCCATAAAATTAGATTTAAAACAATCCTCTACAACCAATTACATGACTTCTCATCAAAGCCAATATGGGCATGTTTTTGCAAAAGAGTGATGTGATCCACATAATCAAAAGCTATTATCTGCTTAGTAATTAAATGGCTCCAAATGAACTGTTGGCACTCAGGTGGAAAGGGTGGCTCAGCTGATCCTGTGTTCACAAGGTTATGTACTCAGTATTTTGGTATCCATTTTTACCCATTTGTATCTTTTTTCTGTAACACAAATGTACTGGCCACCTTTTGCAGTTATTTCTTAAGGAGGCGCATGATTAGACCTCCTCAAATTAAAAAGTATGTTTAATGTAGCCCAAATTTGACTTTGACCTTTTTCTTCTTACAGTGTTTTTCTTCTCTGTTTTGTAAACTGGATTATTACATTATGGGGACTTTATAGGGAGCAGTCACTTTATGCAATCACATAAATGAACAGACTCTAGTTTTAAAGCATTTGCTGAAGTGGCACTCTCATGCACTTCTACATAAAATAAAATATGATTAACTCAGTATAACCCTTTGAACCACTTCAGTAAATTAAAATATAAGCAGCAGACAATTATAATGGAAACCAATGTCATAGTACAAATTACAGCAACTGTACCCTAATTACAGAGATTTTATCTTCTAAATTAACTTGTGTGTGTCACGACGTATATAAAGCTTGTTGACAAGAATGTGTGTAACTCTTCAAACAACAAATTCATCTATTAAAGGATGTATTTCCTTGGAAGCCTATTTGTGTTGCTGTATACTATATGTTTGCATATATATGTCTATATACTCTTCTCTTGAAGAACAAGAACAGTTTTTCACTGTGCAGGAATTAATCTGGACTTTAATTCTACTCATCTCTAAAAATTTCTACTCTATGTAGTGATGAAGTGATTGGGTAAAGCTCTTCCTAATAATATGTTCATCCAGTTGACATAAGCATGCAGGCATCTTCACTCAACTTACTGCAACTTTGAAGTTTGTTACAGTTTGTCCTGTGCTTGCCTTGACTGAATCTTAACTAGATCCTGAGGCAGTCTTGCTTTTAATGTTTTTGTTAGTTTTTAACAAACAAAGAATCAAAATTTATTCACAAAGTTTTTAAAATATTTAGGTCATACTGTATTACTGTATGTCTAAATGGCTTACCTTTCCGACGTACAATGGCTCTGTGCCTGTGTATTCCTCCACCACAAAGAATTGGTTCCACACCCATCCTCTCTTAACTCGTTCACGTGATGAGGGTCCTTGCTCCTGTCTATTCCCTCCTAAGATCGACCCACTAGTCCGTGAGGCCTCACACCAGTAAAAACTACAGCAGCTAAGAAGGCCCAAAGCTGCCAACAATGTCCAAGCTCCTGCTGTCCAAGCAGGAGCCATTCTGATAAATAAAAAAACTGAAGAAAATAAAAAATAAGGGTATCCAACCTTTTACATATAATCTAAAAGACACATGGAGACAGGAAGAATCTTTCTGTTTTACTCCAAATAAAAGTCCCTCAGGTCAAACGTAAAGGTCTTTGTGAAAGAACTTGAAAAGTTAATCCATGGGATCATAAATCAGTTTGAAGTTATCTGCTGAATACATGCCAGGTCATGGAGCATATTGGATTCCTACCACCTGCAGAGCATACATTTGTACTGTAACATGTTCAGTCATTCTGATCCATCTGATAGTGTCTGATATTTTTTCGAAGTATGACCTAGTAGTGAAACAAACAAACTCTGGAAAATGTCTTTCAAGCTGAATTTTTAAAGGAAAAAAAAAAGAGATTTCACTTAACTGACTCAGAGATCAGAAGGGGAATAAGGAGGAACAGGGATACAGTGGCATTGAGGTACAAGCCTCTGAAGAGGAATGTTTCCGTCACCTCTTGACATTGCTGTTTCTATCATGTGTTTCTAGTTACTCTTCTTGCCATATCACTGGTGTGGTTCAGGTAGTTATTATATGGAAAAAGTTATTCTATGGAACTTTTTTGCAAAGAAAACACTTCTGTAATTCAGTTCCTCGAGTGGTTTTGCCTCCTGAAGCAGAATTGTTGAACTGAGAAAAGGCCACCTAATTTTACTGTTGGTGATTTTGCTTGATCTTCAATGGCTTTTCCCTCCCGAACAATCCAGTGGTTTGGAAAGCTCATTCTTCAAAGGTGCTGCAGTATATTATTTGGCCATCACGTCAACTCCATCAGCGATTAAAGGCAGGAAAAGGACAAATCTGATGGAAAAGACAGAAGGAAAAAGTGCTGTTATCATAGTGGTAATTTGAGTTGAATCCAGAAATGATTTCTATTCAGGGGTGTTGCTAGACATGAAGCTCTACTGGGGCACAGGAACCCCTTTACTCAAATCACACAATTATTTTTTGTGAATGTCTGCTGCATGAAAGAACTTGCTTAGCCCACTATTCCGCTGCTACTGACACAACTACTGTTAAAGGTAAAAATAAAGAGATATTAATATGTGGCCTTATTGACTCTTAAGGCCACATATATCAATGCTCCAGTTATTTCAAAGTTGTATTGTGCAGTGGATGCCTGGTGGTCACACACGTGTCTCCATAGACACAGACAACTTCCACCACACTTTCCCTTCAGGTTCATTTGTTATATGTGCATAAAACAAACCATTTCGACTATGTGACACAAGCATCACATGCATGTTATAAGCTATTCATCAAATACAAAATGAATAGTCCAAAGTTAACATAAACCGCTATGTGTGATGTGTTATGCAACGTCCGTGGCATTCATTTCATTTTATGTAGTAAACTGATAGTGTTTTAAGAGTAGTCCAACCGATCATATACATTGGGCTCTAATTTCCTTCACATTCAACATCCATGCCTAGTTATGCACTAGCTAACTAAACTAATTTGTTTAATTTGTTTACCAACTACAGCCAGGTCTTACCTCTATCACCCTCATCCCTCTCTTGGCCTCCTCTAAAGAATTTTCTTACGTCCATCTACAGGAGTCAATAATGTTTGAGGCTAAATACAGCTGTATTATTCAAAAACTTAACATGGATTGCTGTGTGTGCACTGCATTACACCAGCTATGATGTGCATGATGTGTGCACCAGAGTGTATGAACCCTGACCACTCTGCCTGAGCTTGTATTTTACTTTGACATTCTAGATTAGAACAACAAATCAGTTTGCTTCCTGTTATTATTGGTTTAAATTAATCCACTGCCAAACGCCGGAGCTTGTTAAAACTCAAATGCGTGATTTAATGGGGCACAGAAAATCAAAACTGGGGCATGTGCCCCAGTAAAAGGGGTCTAAACATGCTTATGTTTCCACTTGAGCCTTTTAAATGTTGTCTGAGCCACAAAATCAGGGTTTAGGATGACTTTTGTTTTTAACACTGACTTTTTTTTTTTACATTTTAAAGTACAAATACTGTATGTTCTGTGATTTTTATTTAGAACCTGAATGCTGTGTTGCAATTTCTAAACAGTAAATAAAAAATAAAAAATAAAACTTCCAGCTAATTTTGCCCTTCTTTTACTTCTGTATGTTTTGAGCCACAAAACTCATAATGTGTTGGTTGTGTTGGGATTATCTGGAGGAAACAGTTTTTCACCAGTGACCCTTTTGCTCAAAAATCACAGCACAGTGCTGTGAACGAGACAGCGGTGGGAGAACAATAAAAAAAAAAAAAAGTAAGGCAGGTGTGTGGAACAAATGAAAGAGACACATGAGAGAGACAGGGAGAGTGACAGAGGTCATTGTTCATCACACACTCAACCCAAAGAATCAGTCTGCCTTTAGTCCAACTGATGGAGTGGCCCTAAACTCAGCCAGCTGATTAACTGCATGAAGGAGCACTAATTGGATAAAAGTATTAATCAATTAATTCTATCCAATGTGGCTGCAATGCCCTAATACTTCAGACAAACATTGGAGAGCGGGTTGGGGGGGTATAGCCCTTTCATGTTGTGAAACATGTGCAGAGGTTAAACAAAAAGACAGATCTGATGGAGTAGAGACTCCAAGAGAGGAAGGGTAAATGGAGGTGGGTGAAATATGAAAGAGCAAGACAAAAGAGAAAGAAATGAGTGAAAGCCTAGAAGAAGGAAAGAGACAGACTGTGTTGTATTGTGTGTGGCTGTGGGTAAGATTAATGGTCTCATATTCAGAACAAAAGTCAGATGCCAAAAAAGGGGAGACAGTAACATCTAGCATGTCTCTGGTCTTATGACCTCAAGACCGGAAGCTGGAAACAGTGGTCGAAGAAAAGCTCCTCAGGCCAGCAGGTGGTTTAAACTATTGCATTTCTGCTGTCTGGAAAAAGACTTCTAATCTCACTCTCTTTCTGCCCAGTAGCAAGCTTGGAGCTTCTGGAAATAATTCCTTCTCAGGCGGTTGGTCAAGGCAATGTCCGTGGTATTGGAAACTAACTGCTCTGAGAGTGTCAGATTTTCAGAGCAAACAGTTCAACTTAGACAACTTAAACCTTTTTGTTCAGTTTTTTTAAACAGTTGATGTCATTAATGGGAGAACTAAATGGGGTTCTGCACATACATGAAGAAAATACTGGGGATATTTTTCATACATACTGGGCATTCAGTTGTGTGATGCAGCGAGTGATCAAATAGTCATGCAGCACTGACATAAAATATGACAATTACAAGGTGACTAGTGATCTTAAATGGTGTTGTACAAGTTGAGAGACTTGCATACACGAGGCTGTGTGAGACTCTACGTAAGAATAGTAGTGCTTTGTGCTAAGCTCTTATGCGCTAATGCTATCATGTTGATTTTTAGTAGACAATGCTAACCTTTTTACTTTAGTGAGTTAGCATGTTAACAGTCTAACATTAAATTTAATGTACAACTGAGGCTGATCGAAATGTAATTATTTATCAGGTCATAACTATAAACCAAATAATGTACAACTTGAAATTCTGATGATGGCATCAAATGAAAATTTAGGGCAATTAAGCTTGAGTGGGATGTGGTTGTGTGTACAAAATGTCATAAGATTCCATAACATTTCTTACCAAATTGTTGTTGTGATGTTTCACTATAAAACAAAAATACTAACTACCTGGTGATGCTACAAGAAAGGTAAAAGGATCATCACAGTTAGTAAACTTTATGATGCTGTTTGCCAAATATCATTGGATGCTCTATAGGCTTACTCCATTCACAGGACTTTATAACTGCCTTATAACTGCACCTGACCACTAGAACCATGAAATTTACATGTTCATGGTTCGTCAGTCAATAATGAGCCTGGCACCAACTCTTGGTAGCAGAAAATTACTGCATTAACCTAATTTTCTGAATCACAATCAGAATCAAAATCAACTTTATTAGCCAGGTGTGTTGGACACATGAAGATTATGACTCTGGTACAGTGCCTCTCATTAAGTATGTACAATATTCTTCCGTAAAGCAACAGATAGACAAGTGTTAAGTGTGATAGTCTGGGGAAGAAACTGTCCTTGTATCTGGTCGTTTTGGTGTACAGTGGCCTATAGCACCGTCCAGTGGGGAGGAGTTCAAACAGTTTGTGTCCAGGGTGTGAGGGGTCTGCACAAATCTTCTCTGCCCTCCTTTTCGCCCGTGAGGTGTACAGGTCCTCCATGGAGGGCAGGCTGGCACTGATGATCTTTTCTGAGTTCCTGACTGTTTGCTGGAGTCTGTTCCTGTCCTGATTGGTTGCCGAGCCAAACCAGACAGTGATGGATAAGCAGAGAAGAGACTCCATGATTCCTCTGTAGAACTATATCAGCAGCTCCTGGGGCAGGGTTAGCTTCCTGAGTTGGCTCAGGAAGTACATCCTCACACTGTACTTTAGGACAAGACAGAACAACACTGACATCAAAGAGAGAATTCAGCAGTCAAACATAATTTTGCCTCTCAACAGACATAGTGCTTCCACGTTGTGCCCTGGACTGAATGGCATGGCAGACCAACACCAGTGGTGTACCGTGTGCCTCGGCACTGAACGTGCTGCTGCTTGCATCCACTAATAGTAAGATTGCGCTTGTTGGCAGTGATAAGCCTATTCTAACATTCTTTTCAGATTGAGCTTTGCTCTGACAGCAGTGAGACAGAATGTGGCCGTGTTCTTCTGATGCTTCCGTCTGCCCTCTCAGAGATCCATCACTTGCCCTGCAGAGGACGATGGCCTATCCGTACAGCCTGACAGTGGGGGATGACACACTATTACCATTCTCTGCAGAGACAGAACTGTGCCCCTCTGCATCCAGGCCACCCCTATTGTGATGTTAAAGAGCAAAATCCAACATTTCTCTGTCTCCAGTGTCACAGCCCTTGTAAACCAAAGTCACACAGACCATCCTACCGCCATGTCACTGCCTATCTGTCTATCTGCTGTATCTCACACCAGAGATTCAAGTAATTATTGGGCCTAGTAATCTCTTGTAAATATGAACAATGTCGTGCTCCTCCACCATCTGCTCATGAACAAAAAATGGCTAGGCCAGAGTGCACGGCTCTTTCTACAGTTTTCCTCAGCAGAAGATGAGCACTGAACCTTTGGTGGAACAGCTACTGATGCAGTACTTGGGCATGTCTGCCGTCCAAGCTTATTGAGCTGCAAGACTTATTTCACAGTGAAATGTAGTGTGATCAGGGAACACATTGCACTGGCCAGAACCTTCACAATGAACAAACACATGCCTGGGGATCTGTTCGGTGCTTGCAAATCACTCTGGATCAAGAAGCACACATTGTTATCATTTTTTGTTATTTTTGTAAATTATATCGAAAGAATCCATCACGTCTATCAAGCCAGCAGAATGTTGCTCTATTCAGAGCCCAGTAAATCAGAATAGACAGTCTGTGCCATTTTAAGGATTAAGCTAAATGCATTATAACATTTTGTTATAGTGTAAAGTGTTTAACTTTGAATGGCGGTCAATTAAAAAAAGGAAAGAAAGAAAGAAAAGTCCCTTCCTTGACATAAATTGATCAAAAATATTTCTTTTCAAGTTTCCAGTTAGATACAGTATGTTTGAGCTAAGGGGTGATAACTTAGAAATAAAAACATTATGTTTATCCTTTGTGCCTCAAAGGCAAACAGCACTGGAAGGATAAAATTAATTTATTTTTCATATTTACACTTTTCCTGTTCTCTTACACTAGATGACTTTACAATGTGGCAGGCAGTTTGAATATGTTTAATTAGAGAGCATTTGTATCAGATCTTTTTTGTGTGTGCACCAATGGCACAGAAGT